GAATTAGGATGCACGTATAATGGGTTGGAATTAACCTTCATATATGGTTGGAAAATATTGTTAGCAAGATCTAAGGTGACATCTAGAAAATCCACTTGTCTAACATTAGTAGTAACTATAGTCCTAAGACCTAAATCCTTAAATACTTTATAGATCATTTTCCTAATACGGTCTACCTTAATTTTAGTTGAGTTTTTAACAACTAATAATCCATCATCTCTATATAATCCTACACTATCTGAATCTAGACAATCAAAGGCACTTAAATTATATAAAAGAAATAATCCAACCAAGTCCGAAGCTTCAGCAGAATCCAAAAAGAACCCATGGAAATGTCAAAATTGTTGTTGGAAGACTTTTTGGTCCACTGTTCATCCTTGTAAATTAGAACAGAATTTCGACACTTCATAATGATGTCAATTTCACACTCAGAAATAGTAGAATATTCCCGGGCGAAGTCCAATGCCAAGGTGAAAAAGATCCTTCGATATAGAGGGATAATAGTCGATAATATCGAACTGTATGAATGAACATTTTCCCTTATATCGTATGTTGTTAAACCAGTTGATGACATCATTTGTGTTAATCCACTGTAGCAGTCCAAGGGTGTTTTTTATGGAGTGGTTGATTCTTTCTAAGATGGTCTTACTAATCCTACCGATTTCTGGTCTTGTAGGGTTTATAAGTCTAGTGGATGGCTTAGTTTTTGAATTCGGGTTTATGGTCCTTTAACAAGACATAGGCTTCCTTAGTTTGTAGTTTGCCTAATATGATCACTAATTCGTAACTTATCAGTAATTGATTTACTGATACTGTTGATATATTTATTTACTTGGTTGAAATTACTAGTATCAATTTTTTGGTAGCTTCTGGTTAGACTATCCTTAACTAAAGTATCATAATCCTTAGGCGATAACTTATAAAAGTTAGCCGTTTTGTCGGATTTAACGTACATATCACCAGATTTATTAATATCACTGACAATACTTTCGAGATGTTTTTGAAAAGCATTTTTATACCTATAGAAGGTTAATCCTTTGACGGTATCCATTAGTTCATTTTCAAAAGCATGTTTTCCTTAATAATAGGTGCAGTTTTTAGGCTTTTAAAACCATAATTTTCACGTTCACACACTGGTTCCTTGTCTTGAAGAAAGAAGTAACAATTTTCCATCTCATTCTTCTGATATATATTATTGTTAATGTGTATGTGTGTGTGTGTGTGTATATGAAAATAGGAAGGAACTGGTTAGGTAAATAATCCAAAGTCCCTTAGTATTTTAGTTATTATTTTTAAAAAATAGTGCTCGATATAAAAGTAGAGCATAAATATAATTATTTATTTAAAAATATGATTCCAAAACGCTACATAAGAAGTCTCGTGTCAAAAAAACAAGAGCCGAAAACTTCAATATTATTATTTAAATTAAATTGAGTTAAAATAAGCTCTGTTCCATCTTCAAGCGAAATTTTTTATGGATTCCATAAAAAATTTTGCTTTGGTTTGGATTCAGCGGTTTCCATCTCTTAGACTGGTTGTCAACCAAAACTATAGTGGCCAGTCTGACCTGCAGTTTACCTATTGGTGGTGGAAGATGTGATGAATTGAGAACTTTCCCAAATGTAACGAACTCAACTTGAATACAAACTTGAAATATCCAATTCCTCATTCCGAGCAGTAATTATATACAAATATAAATTTATAAAAACTTAAAGTACCTAGTATTAATATTTGCCATCTAGGTACGTTTATAAATATAATGTTGCCTATGTTCGGTTAACGGACGAAATTATTAGTTCAACGTATTATATTTGTAATATATATATATATATATATATATATATATATATATATATATATATATATATATATATATATATATGCATATATATATATATATGTTGTTTTTCCCTCCACCAAGAATTGAAACCGGATAGTATAAATCGACGCAATTTTTTATGTCCATCGTTTTCGTCGATTTATACTGATTATGTTAATTGTATTGTATTTTTAATGAATATTGTCCTGAAGAAGGTTATTAAACCGAAACGTCAGACGTCGGCATTTCATTCATAATTAAAACAACATAATCACATTCTAAGGATTTTTGTTTGTTTTTCCAGATATTTTCTTCATTCTGTCGGATTTATATCCATTTATATTTGCTAACATACTGTCCACTGGAAATACAAACCTGAATTCATTTTTATTATATGGAGGACTGCATTTTATCCGAAGATACAAGAATTTTTTAGTCTCCGCTTATTACTACAACGAACTGCTTTCCATCGGAATCAAATTTTATAAAATTTTAAGAATACGTTTTTAAAGCGTCGCCCATTTGACGACAACGTGACCACGCTCAAACGGAAAGCTAATCATTCAAAATTTTCTATCATCTGTTTTGGATAAGACTTGTTTTTTATGTCCATCGTTTTCGTCGATTTATACTGATTATGTTAATTGTATTGTATTTTTAATGAATATTGTCCTGAAGAAGGTTATTAAACCGAAACGTCAGATGTCGACATTTCATTCATAATTAAAACAACATAATCACATTCTAAGGATTTTTGTTTGTTTTTCCAGATATTTTCTTCATTCTGTCGGATTTATATCCATTTATATTTGCTAACATATATATATATATATATATATATATATGCGTGTGGGTGGGTGTTTGCTAGCACGAAGTCATCGTGACCAAGTGTTTGAGCGTTCTGGTTTTGTTCAAAAGTTGATCACGCCTGATTAGGCGCTCTCTCCCACAAACTATAACTAATGTCCGTTCAGCATAGTGGAAGTATAAACCATAGGTGGACTCTGTGGATTGAACAGGCGTCTCTGATAGTGATTTACTAACCACCTTGGCAGACGGGTGTGCTCAGAAGCTGATAGTCGGCCTTTATTATTATTATTGTTGTTGTTGTTGTTGTGGTGGTGGTGGTGCCCTCCCTCTAAAAAGTCTATGTTGGACTCTTCCGCCTACTATAAGAATAGTAGGAGAGAAGGCCTTGGGAGAGCAGTCGAATAGATTGTTCATATGTCAAACTATCTGCCTCGAGCAGAGAGGAACCCGGACGAGGCTTTGCCGAAGAGCAAAATTTCGTCCCGGGAGGTAGACAGACACTGAACCCGTTTATACGGGGTCTAAGGGAATATTTTCGGCCGAGCCTACGAGTTCGGAGAACACCCGCTACAATTGACCTTGTGCCACATATATCCCTCGTGGTGGGAGGCTGTTAAATATTAACAGTCGAATAGATCTGTTCCAGCTGTGCTGGTCAAACTCTCTGCCTACGGACAGTGAAAACGAGGCTATGTCGAAGGGCAGAGTGTCGTCTCAGGAAACAGCTACCCGACCCCGTTTTATAAGAGCTCCATTGGGAATTTTTGGGCTCGGATTGCCCCACATTAAACTTGGCCTTGTGCCACATACATCCTTCGTGTAGTGGGGGAGCTGTTATATATTAACAGTCGAATAGATTGAACGCTGGGTCAACTGACTCACACCCACTAGTCGTGTAATATTCTTCTGTTGTATTTACTGTTTAATATATGATATATCTGTAATACTTGTTTTATTATTTTGTAACCATTTACTTGGTCACAACAATTATTATAACTATTATTATTATTATTATTATCATTATATGTATGTATGTATGTATGTATGTATGTATTTCTGTATGTGTATCAAATGGATTTATTATATTCGTCATTACTTCTTACCACAAACCTTCTTAAAATTAGTAAGCTGAACATTTTTCATCAAGATGGTCTTCTGTGCCGAAATTGGTAACGGGTTGTATCGACTAATAGATTATATGGCAAAAGCGATACAGACTCATTTCTTAACGAGAGGTATAGTGTTTTTGTATGAGTTCTTATCGGCTGGTTGTTATAAATTTCAGTGTTTAAGAAAATAAAAATCAATGATAGTAACTCAAAACTCTCTCTCTCTCTCTCTCTCTCTCTCTCTCTCTTTATATATATATATAATTTAATTGTTTAAATATATTTATATATTATTTATATATATTTAGTTTCTATATACAGGGTGAGATTGATAAATTGTCGTCTAACTTACGCAAAAATGAAAATAACACGATGCAGTGTAATGGTTAGCATGGTTCCGTTGCTAGATCAAAGCACTTGATGTAGGCTTCTATGTTGTCTGATGCCCTGTGGAAAGATAAATGCAGGCATAACGTCGCCATTACTAGTGATCACTCTAAACAACTTCGTAATCACCATTAGACTCATCCAACTCTTTCCGAATCCTCTGCAGTGTCCTCAGATTGCCACCCAAACACTCTGAAATGTTAGTATTGGATCTTCCGACGCGAATGCCAATCAATACAGCATGCTGTTTCCAAATTTCTGGCAGATGATACCCAACTATATTTTGCAGTCGACAAATTCAAAAGTAAAAAACGCGCATGCGCGAAATTAAAAATGTAAAATGGTGACAATTTACCCATCGTACTCTGTATATACAGGGAGTTTGTTTATTTGTTCGCTATGCAAGACTAAATCTCAAAACTGTACAGCCGTTAAATTACGTAAATGTCTTTGTTCATCACCGCAAAAGAGGAAGTTCATTACTTTACTTTTACATGTTAAAATTCTTTTGAAGTAGCTGACCGGTGTAAGATTACTTTTTCTCTTTTAATATTAATAGTCAGACAAGATAAAAGTAATTTTACAGAACATTTTCCCTTGAAAATTCTTTCTGATTTTCATACTTTTCTTCTTTGGAATTTTTCCAGGAACAAATGAATTATATTTGAAAGACAGGCGTTGTGTTGTCTTGCGAGTCTGGAACGAAACATTGTCGTGTAGACTGATTGATTCAACAAAGGAGTTACCATTCTACAACTTCAATATTTTTGATCGAACAGACATATGGACATATTAGCGATTTACAGACATTGAGGAGGATGCAATGGATGGTGGCCAAGAGGCAGATGTCTATCGCGGTTGAAACTACCGTATGGTGAGGGAAAGAAATGAAAAAGAATATAAATTTCAGAATAACAATGTGAAAAAAAAATCACTTCAAGAAAAATAAGTTTATATAAGATAGATAGATAGATATTGAACAGTCTTAGATAGATAGATAGATAGATAGATAGATAGATAGATAGATAGATAGATAGATAGATAGATAGATAAGAATGTGTATCATGAGTTACTATAGTAATTAGAGAAATCAAGAGTATGTTTTTAAATAAATTGCAATATTTTGCTCAATTATCTCGGTATATATATAAGGTTGTATTGTTATAATTTATTTCACCAGAATTATTTATATAATTCATTTCATCCAATTTTGGAATTATCTACACGGATTACCAAGTTTTCATTACTTATTTTTTATATATATATATATATATATATATATATATATATATATATATATATATATATATATATATATTCATTTTTGTAGTTCACTGCTACCAGCAAGCAGAAATGTTTAAATGTTTCTTCTCCCTCCTGATGATGGCCATTTTGGCCGAAACTAGTCGAGGAATCTAAATGAAATAATAAAAAAAAACGAAAGAATATTAATCTACAACCCAGTGTATATAAAGATTTTAATTTTTTAATTTTTTAATATTTTTATTGCTCGATATCGTGGCTGTCCTCTCGGTTTCGAGCGTGACCCCCTCCTTTATTTCATGTCCTCACCCCCCTTCCACTCCCCTCAAATTCCATGTATTCTCAAGTGACTCTTCAGGCCAGCCAAACTGCGACAAATGTTGCCACAGAATTGGCATACTCGATCAGTTTTGTTTACAGTAACATTATTCGGGTGCACACTAGGTTTTGCACATTTATGCAAATGTCTTTTGAAGTCGGCAAAAGATAGGCACAATTTTCCGCATATGTCACAATTAACGTGGTGAATTTGTGGACCCGGTGCTGGACCCTGTTCGCCTTTACGAATCAAACGTTTGTAGGCAATGTACTTCATACGGCTATTCTCAAAGGACTCAATGCTTTCGTGAATTAGTTTCCGCCACTTACTTCTATCCAAAGCCATTTTTCCCATTGGTCTACAGATAGTCCAGATTGTTTCAGATAAGATTTTATTGTGTCCTTAAATCTCTTCTTCGACTTTGATGCATTTCTCTTTCCTTCCCACATTTCACCATAGAACAGCCGTTTTGGTAGACGACTGTCATCCATAAGCGCAATGTGACCGACCCATCGGAAACAATTTTCATTACCATCGACTGAATGCTTGGTAGCCCTGCTTTCTCTAATACTTCTGTATCCGAGACATGGGACTGCCATGTGATATGAAGTATCTGTCTCAGACACCGTTGATGGAAGCCCTCAAGAAGTTTAGTTGATGTTTATAGAGTGTCCATGTTTCGCTTGCATTCAGGTGGGCCGTCAAAACACATACTTTGTACACAATGATTTTCGTATGTAACTGGATACCATTCTGGAACCACACACGTTTTTTAAGTGTTGAAAAAGACCAAGAAGCCCTTTCAATGCGGAAAGAGATTTCTCTGTTGAGGCTGCATCCTTCAGAGAGGGTACTGCCACGATATACAAAAGAATGTACTGCGTCTAATTTATTTCCTTCAACGAAGATAGTTGGTTCCATATAGGGTGATCCGGGTGCTGGATCATACATGACGACTGTCTTTTTTTGGTTGATCCTTAAACCGAATGAGTTACATGCAAAATGGTTCATAAAGCATTGCAGCTCATCTTCAGAATGTGCAACGATGTCACAGTCATCCGCGTAGAGCAGCTCTCTCACCAATGAGGAAGAGACTTTTGTTTGAGAAAGCAGTCTACGGACATTATATACACTGCCAGATGTCCGATATCTGATGTAAATACCGTTTGGGTTTTCATAGAAGGCCACGAGAAAGACTATGGCGAAGTAGATATTGAATAACATGGGTGAAGAAATGTCACCCTGTTTGACGCCATTGTTTATAGGTATTTCTTCAGATAGAGTGCCGTTAAAGCCAACTCTAGCCTTCATTCCGTCATGAAGAGAACGAATCAGACCCACAAATTTCTCAGGGCAGCCCAGCTTTGATAAGATCTTCCAAAGAGTTGATTCTTTTGATAAGTCAATGAAACACTGGTACAACGGAAGATTTTGTTCTTTGCACTTCTCTTGCAATTGCCGAGCACTGAAAATCACATCCACAGTGCCGCGGCTTGCACGGAAACCACACTGTGATTCTGGTAGTATTCCATTGACAATTGTGTGGACTAATCTATTTCAAATAATCCATGAAAAAACCTTTCCAACAGTAGACAGCAAAGATATACTCCTAAAATTGCCGCAGTCCGACATGGAACCCTTCTCATACAAAGACACAAGTATTGCATCTCTCCAGTCCTGAGGTACTTAACTTCCCCATGCATTTTGGATGACTTGCTCCAGAAGATCAATCATTCTCCCACCGCCATTCTTTAGAATCTCTACTGTTATACCATCCATTTCTGGCGCTTTGTTTTTTTTTCATTTGACTCACAGAAATCTCTATCTCACCTCTGGAAGGTACTTCATCAAGAGCCATAATTGGCTCGTGTTGCTTAATGAGATTTAGTACAGATTCATCAACGACCGGATGGCGATTAAAGAGTTCGCTATAATGTTCACACCATCGTTTCTTGATATCCTCTGGTTGTCTCAATATGGTACCGTCTTTTGATTTGAGAGGAGCAAAAGGTGATTGCTGCGGACCATAGAGCTCTTTGATTATTTGGTAAAACAATCTCGAGCTTTTACTGTTTGCTGCAAGTTGTGCCTCTTCTGCTTTCTTGAGCCACCTCTGGTTTTGGATTTCGCGCATACGTGTTTGTCCCACTTTTTGGAAATCCTTGTATGTTTTTGTAGCTTCCATTTTTGCTTGGTTAGATAGACTTGATGACAAGGTTTTCTGGAAAAGATTGCGTTTTGTTTCAAGAAGTGCATCAATTTCCTCATAATTTTCAGCAAACTAGTCTTGGCACTTTTTCCGAACTCCTAAAATGTCATGAGCCGCTGAAAGCACTTTCACTTTGAAATCCTCCCATAAATTTGTTTCATCTAGTTCAATAGAGGTAAGTGCATTCTGGAAGATGATCTTTGTTTCAGGGAGATGAAAGAATTTTGAGACCTGAAGCTTTTTTGCTTTTTTTGTGCCTGATGCGGTGCTATGTCGTGCTTTGAGGCGGATTCTAAGTTTCATTTTGGCTCTCACCAGGCGATGATCCGTCCAACATTCAGCACCTCTCAATCATGTGCCAATGTTTAGAACATGGATGTTGCCATGTGCCTTTGTATTTGTTTATCTGACGAAACCACGTGTTTCCAATCACAAGATAGTGCTCGTTGCAAAACTGCAAGAGCTGAAGGCCATTGCTGTTTGCATTTCCAACTCCATGTGAACCTAAACATTCCCAAATTTGAGAATCTCTCCCCACTCTCGCATTGAAATCGCCAAGTAGAATGATCTTATCATCCTCAGGGATATTGAGAAAGAGTTGCCTTAGCTCATCATAAAAAAAAGAGTATGTTTGTTTCAGGGGAGTCCATGGTTGGGTCATAAACCGACACGATTGTGACAAAACGTTTTTGTCGCAGAGGAAGACGTACAGAAATAATGCGTTCTGATTTACCAAAAGGAAGTTCCTGCAAGTTTTTTAATAGGGATGATTTGATGGCAAAACCTACACCGTGTTTTCTCGCTTCATCAGCGGGTTTCCCCTTCCAAAAGAAAGTATAACCAGAGCTTGTCTCTGTGAGCTGACCATCATCAGCAAGAAAAAAGCACCCTGGCCAACAGAGCAGTTCTGCGATGCGGCCTTTCAGACAGCTCATTGTCAAGTAATGTTCGTACATTCCAGCATGCAACTTTCATGCCAACGGAAGTGGAAAACCGATTTGTATGTTTGTGATTTTTTGATAATGCCGAGTTTTTGTCTTTAATTTTGTTACCACTAAATGAACAATCCGCCAGCCGTGGCTACTGGCCAGATTGTGAGGCAAAGCATTTGTTTGGGATACCTTTTCTAATCCCCGCACGAAGCAAGCAGTGCTCTCCTAGAAAGGCTGCTTTGACACCCTTAACTCCACCGAATCATGCCTTTTGCCTCTATTAGACAATTGAAGCGATGTTCAGAAAAGTTAAGAGTCGCCACTGTGCACCGTTTGAGCTACATACTCCCAGTTTGTTAAACCTGTATGCGTCGCCAAAACGTATATCGCCAGTGAACATAGGTTAGGTTAAAAAACACGAAAAAAAGGTCAATGGCACATAAAATGAGACGATTGGTCCATACTAAACACTCAGGTTTGATATTTGGAGTTTTCCTTCTCCTAGATGGATTACCACAACAGTGGCTAGGGAGTCCCCATCTACCCCGGTGAGCTCACTATTTGCCTATAGCTGGGACCCTAAAAGGTGCTACCACCCCGGGTCAGGGTGGACCTGGGAACACCAGCAATTAAGAGGTGGTTCCATGCTTCCTCAAAACGTCCTGATCAGAGGCCTTGCTGTTGGATATATATATATATTGAGGCTTAAGGCATTATGTAACGGGTATATTAGTGTATAATGATTTGATATCTCAGCTCAGCATCTCCTTGTTTTGCATGTTTTTGTATTTTTTTTGTTTTTTTTTCTGTATTAGATTAACAGAACTTTTAATGTCTGTTGGGTTTATGGTGTCCAAGAACGGAGGTAGGATTTTTGCGATTGCTTTGCCTAATTTGTAGTGTGGTGGTGGTGGTGGGGAGGGGCAATGTTGATTCTGAACTCAGTGATCAGTGAGCTTTACGTGATTTTTGAGTCCTTCTGCACATGTAGAATTAATCGTCGATGTATTTGGAGAAAATATCTGTTGTGGTCATGAATAAACGCTTCTGGGGATGACTTTCTCAACAATACAATGCAGCTGAGTAGGAAATTTCTTCTGTTTGTAGTGGCTTGATAATAGTTTTTTTTTTTTCTATAAATGTATAGAATGTCGATGCCATTTTGAAAAATGTTCGGATAAATTGAACTGGGATCAAATATCGATAAATTATGAATCGCCTTCCGACAGAATAACAGGATAAGGATCAAATAGGGAACTTTTATAAATCTAACATGTTTCACTTTTATATGCACACCATATTTGGCACATTATAGATCAGAGATTCCACCGGAAAATTCATAGTTTTCAAACAACGCATTTGAACCGAATGTAGTATGGATTCTGCCGCTACCCTTTATGAGCAGTACGCATAGTGACGTATTGCAGAAATATAAAACAAAAGTATAATTTGAAGAATATACAAGAATAAATAGTTCTTAGGGTAATTACCTAATTTTTCTTTGTCACGTTCTGAAAAAATTTCGTTAGCGGATCTGAGTTTATGAATTTAAATAGTTCATGTAAATAATGAAAACAAATTTGTCACGTCATTTCCGAATTTGGAAAACACGTTGCACGATTTTCGACACTTTTTATGCGTTTACTTTTTCGCGTACTAATGTTGTGTGAAATATATTTTCTCTGCATGATTCTTTGTTAATTTTTTTTTTTTAAATATGGTGTATAATTTATTTATAACGCTTCTCTCCGTAGAGCAAGTTTATAGAGAAACATACTCAATGTATAATCGCTGGTCTCTACCAAAATATCTACAGAAATGGTTAATCTGAACGTGTTTCAACTTATAGTAACTGCTTCAATTTGATCTAAGCTCTAAATATCAGTAATTTTCATAAACACTGCCATTTACCGCCATTGACGATTAACGGATGTGTCCTCGTGGAGGCATCGTGTCTTGGGAGTATATTAAGCCTCAAACTCTCACCCGACCTCAAGTGGAATAGACGATCTATCGCTAAAGATGAGGGTAAAATAATCAGCTCCCTGTACCCCTCCAGTAAGTACCTGACTCCCCACGCTATCGTCTACCTTTATAAGAGCCAGATCAGGCCGAAAAATGGAGTACTGTCGCCATAGTTGGACGGAAGATGTCCAGCCCTCACTTTCCAGTCTTGACAAAGTTCAAAATCGTCTCCGAGTCCTTGTGGGTGACGAATTATTTTTCCACCCACCGACCTCTCTCACACAGGTCGGATGAAGCGAGTCTCTCACTGCTCTGTCGCTACTTCCATGGAAAGTGCCCGGACGAACGACATTCCTTGGTTCCGCAAGGTCTAACCTTCACGGCTAGAACCCGTCATACCACTCAAACTCACACCTGACCTCAAGTGAAATTCCTATATATGATCTATTGCCAAAAGCTGCAGGTAAAATGGTCAGCTCCTTGTACTACTCCAGTAAGTACCTGACTCCTCATGCTATCCTCTATCTTTATAAGAGCCAAATCAGGCCGAAAATGGAGTACTGTTGACATATTTAGTCGGTAGCTGCCCAGTCCTCATTTTCCAGTCTTGATAGAGTTCAAAAGTGTCAATGAGTCCTTGTTGGAGAAGAATTATTTCCTAACCTTCAACCTCTCTCCAATAGGCGGGATGTGGCGAGTCTCTCACTACTATACCGCTACTTCCATGGAAAGTTATCGGACGAACTACATTCTTTGTTTTCACCAGATCTAACCTATACGGCAAGGACCAAGCTATCACACTTATATAGTAGAAAACCACACGCATCCCTCCCGTATTCCATCGGCGAGAAGTTCCATTCGAACAGCGTCTTTCCGTGAACCATTGCGCTATGGAACAGACTCCCAAGAGGATCCTTCCCCAATTACTACAATCTTAACCTGTTCAAGTCTAGAGTTAGCCGTTATCTTCCCCCTCCTATCCATATAAACTGTCCCTTAACGTAACCCTCTACATCGAGTGGCCCACGGGCTTTATACAGGGCGAATCTTATTGTAAAAAAAAACAAAACAAAATGTAGTTCTTCTTCTTTTATGTACCGTGTCACGTCAACACGTGGGCAATCATGGCTCTCCACATCTTCTTAATCTTTGTAGCTTTAAGTAATGTTTGTATTCTTACTGTCCTTCGCAGTCTCTTTTCTGTCATACTTTTATTCAAGTTCATGAGATCGGTTACCCGTGCATATGAAAGTGATATAAGAGACCTTTTATGTGCGATGTCTCTTCAGGACATGACATGGACAACCATGAAAACATTTTAATCTAGTTTTGAAATTTCAGAATTTGAAATATAGAGTATAAATGCCTAATCTGTAATTCTTCTATGTGCCGTGTCCCTTCAGGACGTTGGCAATCATTGCTCTTCACAATTTCCTGTATTTTGTAGGTCTTAATCAATTTTGTATTTTTGCTATCTCTCTTAAATCATGTTGTGCAAACAAATTACACAAGCTTAATAGGTTGACTGTTGGCTATTGTCTACCGTTTCTCTTGCCTTGAGTGTGTCCTGTTAGCGTCAAATTTTCAATGACTCTTTTCCTCATTACGTGCCTTAGAAATTTCAATCGCCTCTGTCTGATTTAGTGATTTGCCATGAGAAAATCAGAAAAATTCTTGTTGGGTTCTTTTACGTAAATAGGTAACTGAGTTGCTCATCTTGACGTCTTGGTTCCCTGATGAGAAACGAGTTCGATTCCTGTCATATTTTTCGTTAGTAAAACTTTTAGATCTAGGCCAGTTTATATTAATTTCAGTTTAAGAAAATAACTAAAGAGGGATTTCAACTCAAACACCACTACCCACTAAAAAAATAACGTTTTTCATAATAAACGCATTTTTATTTTAGCTCAAATGCAAATAGTAATATTTATACTTTCATAGTGTTTTGACCCTAGTGGACCTGGGAACAACAGCAAATAAGAGGTGGTTCCACGATCCCCAAACCTCCCGATCAGAGGCCTTGCTGCCGGATGTAGTTTATCTTCATACCCAGTACAAGCAATCGTTGGTAAGCTACACCAATAATATGAAGGGACAGGACTCAAAGAAGAAGGTGCTCTTTCACAGTTTATACTAATTTGTGCAGAATTACATCAAATCAAAGGAACTAATACCTCAGAGCGTACTGATTATCAGCGCAAAAGTGGGATTGATGTGCCGAGTTCAAATTCTAGCTGATGCTGTTGCATTCGATTTGCACCACTTCTTTTCTTAATCGCAGGGCAGATTAGACTATGTGCCAAATAGTCTAAGGTGAGGAAACTATTCAAAACCAGACTTAAGATAAGTACGGGCTCTGTTCGACTATTTTGTCCTAGACACGCCACTGCTGCCACAGCTACAGTACATGACTTGCCTCAACAATCCTAATCGGCTAGGGAAGTGACCTGATTTCTATTGCACAATCGGCAGGTTTCCTCTTTCATTCATACTTAATTCTGAAAACATTATGCAACTGTCTATAATTAAGTAGAATCGTTTATCATTTCAAGAACTGTTTGGTCTTTTGCGCTTATTCTTCGTGTTACTGTTGTCAGAACGAAGACACTTCGGTCGAGTCATGCTATAGAGATTCAAGTCCACTTGCGTTCTTATAAAAATATTACTTTCAGCTTTAAATGTTAAATTTTAAAACACACATAAAGAAAACGTCTCTCCAATTGATTGTTTGAGTGTGTGATAGCTACGATTTGTTTCGTCGGCTCTAAGGTGACAACGCCGCTAACTAAAGAAACATGAATAAACACAAAAATGGATTTATAAAACAAACAATAACAACTATTTATTAGGCTGAATACTAACGATTCAGGGAAGAAAACGGATAAGTCTCTGTGAGGGCAATTCGTTGTGGGAACGGCAAGCACCGGTCATATATCACAAGTGTAAGCTTTTCGTGAACTTATTTGGTTTTAGTATGCAAAGCTCGTACTTACAAATAAATCCAATTATCTATCGGCGGACATTAGTTCTCGTGTCAA